GGGTTTTATTTTTGTTTTTGATTAATAGCAACTATAAATTTTATGAAATTGCCATATGACTTCTCTCAAGCTTTTTTCTTTTTAGTATATGTTTATATTTGACCAACCAGTATACTCACGTTTCACAAATCAAAAAAAGAAAATAGGTACAGAGTGAAAAGTGCCTCTCTATCCCTACCCCTCCTGTTTGTTTCTCATTGACCCTCATACGTAGAGATAACTGTTAAGATAGTTTTCTCTGTGTATCCTTCCAATGTTTCTTCAAGAAAATATAAACAAGTCTTTATCTATTTTTTTCTCTTCCCCCCTCTTACATAAGAGATGGCATATTGTATCCCCTGATTTGCATCTTGCTTTTCCCTCTAGCGATATATCTTAAGAGTTTTTTCCTGTCAGTACTAGCAGAGCTTCCTCATTCTTTCAAACAGCTGCATAGATTGCACTGCAGGATATGCCATAGTTTATTTAACCATTCCTCCATTGATGAACACTTGGGTTGTTTCCACTCTTTGCTGTTTATTATGAACAATGCTGTGATGAATAATGAAGGCATGTATGTAAGCAAGAATATCTTTAGAATAAATTCCCAGAAGTCTCCCAAACTTTTTAATAAACTTTAATAAAACCTTCCAAGGAATGTTCTAAGACGGTGTGACTGGGTTTCCAAATTAGAACCTCAGCTTTCCAAGGATTAACTTTCACATTCCATTAACAGTAGTTCTTCATTCTTGGCCTGTAAATTACATCTTTGTATTTTTTCCAATAAGGAAACATTTTTATATTCAATCTGCCTCTCCTGAAACCAACAATAGTTGGAATGATGTTTTTAGAGAAGGAGAAGGAGAAGGGGAAAGGTAAAGAAGACCCAAGAGAGACTAAAAATATATGATTATGCCCCAGTTAGTGAATTGAAAGCACTAGAAAATACCTGAATTTTCTTAATCCATCATACAAAAGTATCTCTGGAATGAGGTCTCAGGGATATCGGGTTTGGAGTAGAGAACTTGTAAAATGAACCCAGGCCCACAAAGTTCTAGTGCTGCCTTCACTCCAGAGTCAGGTACCTCTCTACCATTTTTTTTATTAGTATCCCTTCTTTTTTTTAACTCAATCTTTTGAATACARCTTTATTTTTTAATATTTATTTTRGTTGCAGTTGGACACAATAACTTTTATTTTTATGTGGTGCTGAGGATTAAAACCAGTGCCTCATGTGTGCTAGGCAAGTGCTCTACCACTGAGCCACAATGCTAGTCCCTTAGAATCCCATCTTACTTCCCTTAATAATTTTTTATTTTCTCATAGTGTCTTTTGGAAAATTGGCTTAAGGTTTTGAAGAAGTGGGTAGATTTTTGTAAATGTGCTTTATAACTGGGTAATGTAGAGTAAGTATTCTGTCTTTTCTTTTAATATTTATTCTTAAGTTTTAGGTGGACACAGTATCTTTGTTTTACATTTATGTGGTGCTGAGGATCGAACCCAGTACCTCATGTATGCCAGGTGAGCACTCTACCACTTAGCCACAACCCAGCCCCTAAGTATTCTATCGTTACACTAGTTTTTTCCCTACCACTGTAGACTTTCTTATTTTCTAGATTCCAGATGTATGAGACCTGAATGGAATAATCCTAGGGTACTTAATTTACATGAGATCTTTGGGAGAACGCATACAAATGCAGAAATATATACCAGGGATACATCAGTGAAGGCTGCCCCCCCTTTTTTTTAAAAAGAGAGAGAGAGAGAGAGAATTTTTTAATATTTATTTTTTAGTTTTCAGTGGACACAACATCTTTATTTTTATGTGGTGCTGAGGATCGAACCCAGCGCTCCGCGTATGCCAGGCGAGTGCGCTACCACTTGAGCCACATCCCCAGCCCCAATGCTGCCCCTTTAACAATTCTGTACTTCTTAAGAAGTTACCCCAGCTGGGCATGGTGGTATACACCTGCAATCCCAGCTGTGGAGGCTGAGGCAGGAAGATCACAAGTTCAAGGTCAGCCTGGGAAACTTAGCTAGAGCCTGTCTCAGAAATTTAAAAAAGGCTGGGATGTAGCTAGCTCAGTGGTAAACCATTCTCTCCGTTCAATCCCCAGTACCAAAACAAAATAAAAACCTACACATCCACAGTTCTGTCATTATTCAAAAATAAAATTATCTTTTCACATAGAATTTCTCTTTGTTTCCATCCCATGTGGATGGATTAATAATATTCTTAATACTAAAAGTCGGTGTAGACCACGTCCAAATAAGGAGTATTAAAAAGCCTTCCCTTTGGATTTATTCTTAATATTTATTATTCTCATGAGAGCATACTTAAAATATATAGTATCAACTTACTAAAATGTAGGTTAAAATATCATTTGCAATGGTGCCTCTTTTAGAGGAACAAGTTTTTAGAATATTTTTTTAATTGTACATGGACACAATATCTTTATTTATTTTTATTTGGTGCTGAGGATCGAACTCGGTGTCTCACATGTGAGAGTCAGGCTCTCTACCACTGAGCTACAGCCCCAGCCCAGAGGAACAAGTTTTTTATGGGAAAATATTTATGACCTCTGAAATTAGTTCAAATTAGAGTAATAGTCTATTAATGTTTTAAGGCATTAAGACTTAAGTGAGCAGTCTTGGGATGAATTAATCTCTGGAAAATGACATCAAAATGTAGGCTCAACATCAACTGGACCATTTTTGAACTGCTTTGGGTAACCTGGTAGATATTCTTTAATATCAAGATTCCTTTGTTTCATTGTTTCTAAAATTTTTCAAAATTTCAAGGCACTTTCAAAACACTTAGCTTATTCTGGGATATTTTTTGTGAGTAGATGGTATGCAAACAAAAGGTAGAGTGACAGATGCCAACTATATATTTTGCAAAAACATCTTTCTTATGCATGTGTAAGCAGAGAATTGGATAACATGAAAAGAGATGTCTTATACAGGTGGCACATGGGAACAGGACAGGTCTTCTAAACTGGATGGGCCTATAAAAACAGGTGTCCTGAGCATGTGTACATCTGTTACACCTGTTCTTCTACAAAGAAATTCCCTCTTAAAAATATGAATAGATCTCAGAATCAGATTCCAAGTTTGGCCGAGCTTAGTTCAGTTTTCCATTAGTTTAAGAGAGACTATGGGCACCTGAATGGATTGCATATATTTTTGTGGTTCTTCTGAGACTTTAATGTTTCCCCTGGCTCTTTATTATTTAGAGTTTAAGACTTAAATCCTTTTACTTGGTCTGCAAAAATAATAATAATAATCTTATAGCATTAAATTCATTGGCAATGTGCTTTGGAAGGAATAAACTTGTGTTCTACAAAAGGGCTTGAATATACAGAATTTCAATGCTTCAAATGATGTAATTTTCTATAATATTTAGAATGCCATTTTTAGTTTAATATTGGGATAATAGGAGACTTCGAAGAAAAAGCTAAAGAGAGGCTAATTTGCCTGGTAGTGCTTCTGTTCTTTTGTTCTTTTAGAATCTAAAATTAACCAACATCTGCAGTGTCAACAAGGACTCCATATGGCATTCAAGTTTGTACTTTTCCTAAATAATGCATTTGAAGCAATGTAATCTGAGAGGAATTCTGAGGTAATAATGAACAGAATGCCTTTTATTGTGTAACACTTTATAGTTTCAAAGTGATTTATCAACTAGGATCTTATTTGATCCTCTCAACAATATTAAGAGGCCTGGAAATTAAGTATTTATTATTTCCATTGACCAGATGAGAAAATGGAGGTCCAAAGTGTTAAAGAGATATCATCATAGTCATAAACCAGGTTAAGTAGCAGCATGAGAATAAAACCCAAGCCATCTGGTTCCTAACTCAGTATCCTGTCTTCCTTAGGATCAAGTTATTGACAGTCCATGTTCTAATAGCAGTTTTCAAAATAATAGATTCCACAAGCAACTCTGTAGGAAAATAAAAAGAACTCAATATCAGAAACTAAATAATAAACATGCATGTTTACATTTCAAAAATTTAATGTATTTCATTTGCTCAAATAAGTCAATAGATGTTTTCTATAAAATTTCATTTGTTCCTTTTGTGATTTTCTACTTTACCTTCAAAACAAAACTATTTTTTCCTTGTGAAATTATACCTCATAAATTTTATTAGTCATATCTAGAAAATTCAAAAATTTTCCAGTAAGAGATGTTGCAACTAAGAGTATTTTCCTCACAGTAATAAACATAATTTATGTCTACCTGAGTTTTGAAACATTTTGTTTCAATTTTAACTTCTGTAAATTTCTGTATCTTCTCAATCATTCAGAATTTCTGGGACAAAACCCAAGGTGGTTAAAACTTAAAGAATGTATTAGAAACATAACTTGGAACTGGTATACAGTCATGAATTTAGAAGGGCCCATTTTTAGTCTAAATAATGTTATTGCCAATTCTACTTTATAGAAATTTCTAGCTGTGAAATATTACCATTTCTACTTTAAAATGTGGTGAAATTCAATGGCTTTCATTTCTTGAAAGTTTGAGTCTTAAAAATTATGAATGCTGGCATTCTTGAAATGGGACACTGTGAGTCTGTAATATCAAAAAGGTGCTGGTGTGTGTTCTCAAACATTGACAGGCAGATGTATTTCCAACAAGTGGAAACACAGGGCTACACTGGCAAAAGGAGAAGCCATCAAGAATCTTAATCATGATTTGGCCTCATCTATGCTGGTTCTGCAGAGGCTTCACAAAAGTGCATCTTTAGGAAGCATCTTCTACCAAGTGGAAAGCTGGCAAGAAGTAGCCTTAAACATTGCTGACAGAGAGAAAGCAGAGCTTATTTAAAACTAAAAAAAAAAAAATCTTTTCCATTAATTATTTGGATATGTCACAGGAAACTACAAACAGAAAAGCAATATTTAAATTTGATACTGTCCAAACATTCTTGCAACTCTAAAAACCTACCCCTATATCTAGGATAAGTAGAAATATACTGATCTAACCTGATGTGTTCTCTTTCTCTTACACACATCAGCACACCTGGACATAGGAACCATACAAAAAGGGATCCAGAGAAAAGGGGGCAAAGAAAATGATACGGAATGAACAAGTAAGTGGGAAGAACTGAGGTGATTTGGAAAATTGGGATCAGAAAGCCTTGGTGGTAGGATCTAAAGTTACACAAGATGACACTGGAATCTGTGATAAAGAGAGGGACTTTGTGGATTTGGGGGACTGGTAATCATTATTTAGCAATGACTTAAGAACTAATGAATTAGAATTGGAATGATGGGACTTTGTTTCCACTCACAACCAGGGACCTCTTTGTGATAAGGGAAATAACATGGTCCCTTGGCTATTCTGCTGCTGATTAATGAGCTGGACAGAAAAGTGCTGGAAAGTCTCATGAAACTTCCATAGTGGTCCAACTCTTTTCTGCTAGATTGGCTGGGGGAAAAAAAAAGCAGCTGATCATGTCAAACCAAGTTAGCCAATATCTGTATTGTCTGTCTACATTATAAAGCACAATGGTACACACTGTTATCTTGCAGTTCATTATTAGAAGAAAGAATTGGGAAAGTATTGGACCATGCCTATAATATATGAGGTAATCATACAACCCAGGGTGTTCCTGCACTGGCCATTGGTATGTGTCATTTGCACCCTGCTACATTAATGCCTATTCTCAAAATTAGACACAACACTGCTCCTTCTTCATCTCCTTGTTTACATGCTGCTGAACAGTGACACTCAGAGACCATGGGAGAAGGACATGGTCTTGCCTGCTAATCAAAACCAACCACACATTAACATGCCTTTCCCAAAACATCTAGTCCAAGAACATCATTGCCACAGAAAGAATCAGGTCCCAAAAGGTCATTCTAGGGTATCTGTGGAGGGTACCTAGATCTCTGTTACCTTGCCTTCCACCTTTTGGTGGCCATTGGGAGTCTGTGCACCCTGAGAAACCAGATTTCTCTTGTGTGAAAATATCAAGAAAGCCATGAAAAATGGAACACAATGTGATTGTTTCTGCATCCTGCTGAATATGTCCCAGGGTGGAGTGATTCTTGCTTTAACAAATAAGTCAGCCTTGAGTGAATCAACATGTTTAAAAGACGTTTCCAAATATGTCTAAAACTCCACATGYAAGGACTTAAATCTCAATTAACACAGCATATTTGGACTAGAACAGAAGTTGGAAATTAGAAAAATGAAGAGGTATTATAATACAGGAGAAAGAGCCAGTCCTATCAGTAACTAGTTGTGTGCCTTTGGTCATTATGCCCATGTCTCAGTGGCCTCAACTCTAAAATGAGCATTACAATAAAAGGAATATCATTTTAGAAAAAAAATTCTGAGAAAAACTTATTTATGTCCTTTCTCTTTTTCCAAAGATGGCTCTTTCTAGATGGCTCTGTGTGTCTGCCGCCAGAGACATGCTTTGCTTCTGAATATCTACAGAGAAGAATAGGGTTTGAGGAGAGCCATATTGCCCCAAACTAGAAAGGTCTATGATTCCAGAAACAGCAAGGACAGCCTTCTACTTCTTGGCAGTACCCCTTGCTATATATGCCTTCGGGAGGCGGGATCTTTACTAGAGTCCTCTTATCTGAAAATAGCAGAGGGTAAATCCAAAGGGATCTTGAAGATTGGGACTTGCCCATGCTAACTAATGGGGAAGAGCCACCCAATGCTCTAGTTCTTCCTAAGAATGTCATGGTCCTCAGTGAGAATACAAAGATACTCCAGGAATGAACCAAATTCAATTTCCTGTCATCCAGCAGGGAAATCAAATTACCATACTCTAAAGATCTTAAAAGAGCCATGTGGTGAGATGACCATTAGTTTGATTAATTTGTCTCTTTATTACATTTTGAAAATGAGCCTAAACAAATCTTGCATACTATAGAAATGTGCTTTCTTCGAGCTCAATTCACCAAGGGTTGCTATTTGTCAGCCGTCTGTGTCATGTTTTTCCCACACCATCCCTTTGTGTGCCCTGTGTTTCCCATGGGGGTTTTTTTATTGAGAAAGATTGGTAACATCTTGAAAATTATCAGGTGCCCTTTCCCAAGTCCCTAAACATTTTCTTCCAAGTTGGAAAGGAATATCTTTCATGCCCTATTTGGTGTCAGAAGAGCAACTTAGAGTTACACCACATAACCAGAGGTCTTTGGTCCTCTCATTCTCTGGGACTACATCTGTTCTTGGAGTTGATGATAAAACACAATTTTTAAAATCTCATGCAATTTTTTTATTGTTGCTGCTATGGTTTGATGGTGAAAGGCATATTTGTAGTTCCAAGACTATGTTACAGCTGGAAAACAGGCAAAATACTTAGTGCAAGGAAAAGCCTAGCACAGGCACTGCCAGCTTCTTTCATTTCTGAAAGCATTTATTTGACATTTTCTCTCTCTCTCTCTCTCTCTCTCTCTCTCTCTCTCTCTCTCTCTCTCTGACATAAATAATTGCCATGTTCTCTTAAGGTTATTTTCCTGCCTGTGGTTTGCTTCTCATATTAAATATTTTAGGAGAAAAAGTAATGTTTGTTTTGTTCTTCTTCTTTTTTTAATTTAGGGAGCTTGTGTTCTTGATTCAGTCAAAATAATGTTTGGATCACTGTGTTTCATGCCAAATAGGCTTTCTCAGAACTTGGAAAACGATATAAAATGCTACCCACATCTTCCCTTTTCTCTTATCTTTCTAAGATATCCCATTTAGCCAAGGCATCATCATACTGGAGGGACAAAGGCCTCTCTCTAATCCATGACCTCCTAAATCTGGTGAACCTCAGTTGTTCAATGATCTGAACTTTCTCTAAAAAATAACGCATATTGTCTTTTCCCCGTAGAAACTACTTAAAATTCTCAAATTTATTATTTCTTTCTTCATTCGATGAGAAAAGGAAATCATACAACGTTTTCAGAGAAATTACTATAATATAAGGAAGTGTAGTTCTATCCAAAAATAATTAAAAAAAGAAAGTAAAAAAAATAAATAAATGTTGAGATGGGAACAATATGAAATCTTACTCAAGTAGATCCTTATGTTCCAACCAAAAGCTAAAAAATGAAGAAGAGCTCTAAAAAGTGGTAAAGAATACAGACAATAGAGAAAAGCAGAGGAGTACAGAAAATAATCATAATATGTAAGATAATAAATCAAGAGTCTGAGATGATTCTTAATGAAATCTCTTTCAAATTGAAGTTTTTAAATAAATATGAGATTAAAGAAAAACTCATTGCTAGAAAGGGTAACGAAACAAAATCTAGTTTTCTTTTTTGTTAAAGCCAATTTTGAACTCAGAGCCTTCTGAGACAAGTTCAGCTCATTAAAAGCAACTGAAATGAAGCAAAGTGACTCRGGTGAGTATATTACATTATGACTTTGCCACATCTGCCCCATGTGCCATGGGATGCTCCCAAAGGCAAATATCTTGCTTTATGTGGTCTAATTCCAAAGGGGAATGATTGTTTAGTTAACCCTGTTACATATTTCTGTGCAGCAAATATCCCAAAACTTAAAGCTTAAAACAATAGCATCATTATTGTTCCTTTCTGGCAGGAATCTAGGTGCAGCTTAGCTGGTTTCTCCTATTGGGTGCTGAGTATCTCTTCTAAGATTGTAATCAAGGCATCAGCTGGTTGGTTAGCCACTTAGCTGGTGGGATCCATTTTGCAGCTCACCCAGGCTTTCAATCCCCCATGGKCTGTTGGAGGAGGACCTCACTCCTTCCATGGTTGTTGGCCAGAGGCGGCCACAATTCTATGCCATATGCCATGAAGTCCTCTCCTAGCTTCCAGTGCATTGCATTCAGCTTCTCTCCAAGCAAATGTGTGAGAGAAAGCCAAAAGAGTGGGCAAGGAAGATGGAAGTCACAGTCTTTTGTAATCTAACCTCAGAATTGTTGTCCGTCACTTTTTCAATGTTCTCTTTATGAGAATTTACTAGGACCAGCACACACTCAAGGGAAGGGGATCTTATAAGGATGTGAAGACTGGGAAGCAGTATCATTAGGAACCATCTTCAAAGCAGCCTACCACATCAACCTTAATTGTATAGCATATAAATAGTACACTGCCGTCTCAAGATCAGAAATATTTTCTTCAGAGAAAAATGCTCCAAAAATCTATATAATTCATGTCTTTTGCCTTCATTAGTAAATGGTTCTATTTACTTAAATGATTCATGTGCCACTGAGAGGTCCAGATCTTCTTAGCCAGTGATCAAGCCATTTTAATCAGTGAAGGAAATATTCAGTCACATGTCTAATTGGAATGCCAGCTCTGTGAAGGCAGAGACTTTATCTGTCATGTTTTCTGTTGTATCCCCAGTGCCTACCACAGGGTTTGACACATAGTAGATGTGGTTAAATGAATTGCTTCAACTCTTTTTATCATAGTCTACTATGATGTCATGTGTCACAATTGTACTTCACTCCCTTAGAAACTGAGCATCAGAAATACTTGCCTTTGTATCCAAGAGGAGAAGGAAGAGATTGGTATGACTTGGGGTTTTCCAAAGATAGTCACAGCCAGTTACCAACTTTGTAACAACCCAGGGTTTCTAATAAAAGAACCTCTAACTCCATTTTTTCACAAATGGAAAATGGATTTTTTTCTTCAACAAATCTCATTTCTGTGGCATACTACCCATGATTCAAAATGACCATAAAGGACCACAGTTTTTTTTTTAATCAAACCTGATTTTAAAAATTATACAACATGGGCTGGGGCTGTAGCTCAGTGGTGGAGTGCTTGCCTCTCATGTGTGAAGCACTGGGTTAGATCCTCAGCACCACATACAAATAAATAAATTAAATAAAGGTTTTGAGTCCAGCTACAACTAAAAATAAAAAAATATATTCTTAAGGTATAAAAACATATAAAATTATCAGTAAATTTTCTTTCTTTGACCTCAGCCCCAGTCCCACTTCACCTCCATATATAATGAATTTAACAGTTTCTTAGGTAGCCTTCAAGATATTTTCAGTTCTAATATAACATGTATTCTTTCTTTGCAYATATAGTATTATAATAATGTTTTACCCCTTGCTCTTTTTTTTTTCATTTAATAATATGTTTAGGAACCCCTACAGACATATCT